AACACAAAAAAACTCAATCAAAACAAAACAACATGCAATGATATTGTTTGACAATATACCAAGTCCACATGGCCTGTATCGTACTTGTTGTGGTGTAAAATGTCAAAGTGAGAGGAGAATTTGACTCACTCAGCCTTCCTGGTAGATGCCACAGATCTTCTTGAGTGGGTGGACCGACCGAAGGAACTCGGTTAGGGGGTGAATGAGGCAGACTTGGAGGAGGGCTGACCTGCCTTCCATGCATCATGGATGAAGGACTTCTTTCTCCGTGTTCTTGCTACAAAACATCCAGCCAAACATTTGAGCTAATGCGCATTAACTCGTGTTGGAATTCAAAACAGAAAGGCAGAGCTAATGCAATGTAATGTAAATCTTCTGTCAGCAAGAGGACATCATTTGGGTCTGTGCTTTGAAATCCAGGAGAAGAACGACATTATAGGAGGTTAGTAACCCCCTGTAAGTTTAACTTACCTTGATCAAAGGTGACGGGGAAACGCTCGCCATGGAAAAGCCACTTATCAGTTCGTTTACACAAAAAAACAGAACGATTTCCTCTTAAGCAAATATTCAGTTCGATTCGTACAACAAACAAGCTCAAAGGCGCAACTCCCCAAACTCCATTTTACGCGAGAATACAATATTATCCTCGATTAAATAAAAAGTATTCTATTTTGACATCGATCCTTCCGGGAAATGAAAACGAAAGAAACATAATCCTCGCAGGGGGTGTGCGCAAGTCGGGCTAGTTGGAGGAAGCGGCGGCGGAGAACATTTCCAAAACATTTGACAGCGTTTGATAAGGCGATCCCACAACAGAACCAATGACAGAAGCGCCCGATCAAATCAGCCCCGTGGGCCAAATGACACGAGCGTGTGGGTTTGGAGGGCAGGGGAGGTGATTTTAAATAACTGAATGTGCGAAAAGCCCCTTTGCAGAAATAAGAGAAAATAGCGAGAAAAAGGGTGTTCTGAAACCTGTGGGAGTTAGAAAAGCTGAATGACACCACACAGGGGAGCCGCGCATGCGCACCGGAGCTCCTCCTCCGAACAGGAAGGGACGCTCAGGCCAGCAGCCGCGGGCCGGAGCGCAGCTTTACGCAGCTTTACGCAGCTCCAAAAGGTCGCCAAGTGTTCGTTTGGGTGGAGGAAACGAGGGTCTAAGGGCAGCAGCAACGCAGGTGAGAAACGTCCACGTCAAAGTGTTTAGATAAGTCATAAAAACGCTCTAACACAGCTGGAAAAAACTACAGGAGCATGGCACTGTCAGATTAAAATGATTCTTACGTAAAAAACACAAACACAACCTGATTGGGTGAAAATTAGTTGTTGAATATATCAAATGCTTTGGTATTTACCATCCTCATGATTTCACCTTTAAGTGTATTCAATAATGCTTGCAGTTCTTATTTTTTACTAAATTAAAAAAGCTCATTACTATTTGAACCTACCCTTTCAAAGAAAAACATTTCTATTATTACATCATGAGATAAAACCAATACCTTTGTGTTAGTAACTTCTACTAAGACTTTTCAGTAGTAATTGGTTGTAGTAACATGGTTGTTGTCAGGCTGCATAAAAATCTCTCTTTATCTTTTGTCTCATACATTTTTCAGCGATGTGGGCTGAGAAATTGGGGAGACAGTTGGGTAACCCCTCGCGATCCATGCTGGGATGGTTGGTCAGCAAGCTGCTGAGAGTCCGGAATAAGGGCCTTGAAGAGAACGCTGCGCTGCTTTGCGGGATCCAGCCGGGGGACACAGTGCTGGAGCTGGGTCACGGTCCAGGTCTAGGTCTTCAATCAGCCGCCAAAATGCTAACTGCATCTACAGGTCACCTCATAGGGGTGGATTACTCAGAGTACATGCACCAGGTGAATTTAGAACATAACTCATCACATTTTAAATGAGATTTTTTTGTTATTGTCAGAAATGGTTACAATTAAAAAGTCAGAACAACAAAAGGCCACCAGCAAAAAGATGTTTTTATGTGGCGATCCAAGCTAAATGAGCTGCACACTGAAATCAGTTTTGTAAGTAATACTTATTCAAACAAAACAGAGAAAAAATATGGCAAAAAGATGAGAAATCAGTAGTTGGGATCACATTTGTGTCTAAATCGAGGACCTAACTTGCTTTTAAAAGCATAAACTATTTACCACTCTGACAGATGGCAAAGGAGAAAATGAAGGAACTCATTGCCAATGGCAAAGTGACACTACACCACTGTGATGTAGCTGCAATGCCCCTGGAGGACAGCTCTGTGGATAAAGTATTTCACTGTAACTGCTACTACTTTTGGCCGGACCTCAGGAAAGGAGCTACAGAAATACACCGTGTAATGAAACCAGGTAATGTTATAACAACAGGACATCCTCAAGACTTAGATGTCATTCATGTCATAACCTGCCACACATGTTCCTTGTGATATATTTTTTTTATCAAACCAGGAGGCCTGATGGTGACCACGCTGAGGTATTTCCATTTAGTTAATCTGGCGTCAAAGCGAGTGATGCCGGGGGAAAACTGGCGCCCTGAGGCCTATATGGCAGCCCTGAGAGACTCTGGCTTCACTGGTGTCAGGATGGAAGACAAGCAGTGCAAGAACTTAACTTTTCAGGCCATCTATGCCACTGCTTTAAAGTGAGATGCTTTTGTGACGTTTTGGTTGCATCAGTTATTCACAGTATGCCTTTTAAAGGTGTGTGAGCTGATTTCTAAGTTTGAGAACATATTTAATATGTTCTCCTAATTTTGGGGGATTTTTCAACTGCACCTTACTATTAGTATTGTCCAATATAGTTGAAAGGAATTTTGGACAAAAAATTCTGAAATCTGTGTCTTAATGTTAATAATATATTATGTTTGATTGCAATTACATGCAATTACAAGAATTTAATTGTATATATTTTTTAATATTCAGCTTGGATGAATGTAACCATAAGATTGTCAAAAAAAAGGAACCCACATGCATAAAAGAAAATTATCTTAATAAAATAATGTGATATCATGGTTTGTATTCACTCAGTCATACAGTTTAATATGCAGGCTGCAGATGACAGAATCCTATTAAACTTAGGCTATAACGTCAAAAACAGATAGAAGTATAAGTAAAAGCAAATCTTGCAAATAAACAGCAAAGCGTTCCATGATAAAAGTGCCTCGATTGCTGAGATCAACAGTAACATAACTTTAACACTAGGTGGCGATCGGGCTCCGTTTGAGTTCTGCCCTTTTTAAAAGAGTAGAAGAAGAGGAGGGAGCGCGAGAGGGAAATCCAAACCTGAATAGGACGTGTCCACGTAAACTGGAAGTTTAAGAAGAGACCGGGAGTTTAAAGTCGACAGCAGGTGAAATGACACTAGCGAATTAAAGACAATATCGGATCGATTAACACTTGACATAAAAGCATTTGGTTTTAGTCCCGTAGTTGTACGGGAGGCAGCTGACGCTGTAAACAAGGGTAACCGGTGTAAACGCAGACCGGAACTCACATAAAAAGACGCTGATAGTCATTTTAAAGCAGCTCCTGCGTGGAGCTATCAGTATGTTTTCCGTGTAAAACATTAACCATGACCACGTCTCTCTGCGTAACTCTCCATTTTGCAGAATGCAGAAGGCTTCCCGTTTGAAGCGTGAACTTCAGATGCTGAGCACAGAGCCTCCTCCTGGGATTACATGCTGGCAGAACGAGGAACGAACTGACGAGCTCCGAGCCCGTACGTGTCAGGTCACCGGGTTTTGTTTAGCTAAAACAAACCAGAGGGGAGGGAGCTTAATACAGATAGCTTGGGTACTGTGTAAACACTTGTGAAGTGGTGTTTGTCAATTTTAAATGGAACTCAGAGTTATTTCTTGCAAAGCAGATTTGAGGAAATGTCAGTTTGAATCAGTTGCCATAAGTTTGAGATTTTGTACTCTCCTACTCTGTCCATCAATTGATAATTTTGCATATGTCTGTGAACATAAAACTACATGGGAAAGACAAATAACAAAACAAAATTAATAAAAAAGATACAATTTTCAAAATTTATATTTGTTTCCCGTTTTGGCACGGAAGAAAAAGTGTTTAATCTGTAAGTGTCTAATTTATAGTATTACTTATAACTTTACATCAATCATAAACTGAGATTTTTGTTCCGACACAGATTTGATTAGGACACACTGGATAATGTAGTATATTCTGTTATATTGTTTGTGGAATAAAAATAAATAATTTGTATATTGGTTCCCTCTGTCCGACAGAAATATTGGGAGGAACAGAAACCCCTTATGAAGGAGGCCTCTTTACCCTGGAAATCAACATCCCAGAGAGGTACTTCAATAGAAATCCATTCAGTTGTTTACCACTTACTAGCATTTACTTCATGCTAATTGAGCCGCTTTTCCTTTTGTAAGGTACCCGTTTGAACCTCCAAAAATGCGATTTCTGACTCCGATCTACCACCCAAACATTGACAGCTCAGGACGCATCTGTCACGATGCTCTCAAACTCCCACCAAAGGTTGGAAGAAATATCAGCCAAAGAGGGCTCTTTGATTTTGAACCAAATTACCTGTTTTTATTTTTTTTCTCTCACAAACATGATTATAAGTAAAACTTTAAACATATTCTCTGTCAGGGAGCTTGGAGGCCATCTCTAAACATCTCTACAGTCCTCACCTCCATTCAGCTGCTCATGGCTGAACCCAATCCCGATGACCCACTTATGGCTGACATTGTAAGTCTCATGTCATCTTATTTAGACCACACATGCTGTTTGAGTGGCTTCACTTGAATATGTAATAACACTTCTGTGTTTTTTTTATTTTTTAACAATCTTTGAATGTATATGTGTCTGCAGAGTTTTGTGGAACTGGAAAAGAATCTAAGTAACTTTCCTCTCTAGCTTTTTTATTATTGGAAGTTGATGCTTTCCCTTAAAAAAATAAATGAACAGAACTTACAACATTTGGTTGTTTGAATGTAGCCTTTTAACCATGTGTCAAACTTTTTGTTTTTCCCTTTTTTATGCAGTCATCAGAGTTCAAATACAACAAACAGCTATTCGTGGACAAAGCCAAGAAGTGGACACAGGAGCATGCAGTTCAGAGGAATACTGTATGTCACTCACTGTGGTTCTTTCACAAAATCTCTTCAAAGCTTGCCTAATCATTCTCATTACTTTATGTTCATTACTTGGGATGGTGCATTCTTTTCAAATATTGACACAACACAGCCTCATTATTGAGTGTATTGTGTGTAGTGGTTCCTTTTAGCCACAAGGTGGTGCTGTGCTCCCGCTACATAACCTGGTATTCACACTTAGTATCCTTAGTAAATGAGGTTTGTCATTAGATCCAGTTGTGATCCTAACGTTTCATGCAGAAAGGTAGAACCAAGAAGGACTCTAATAGTATTTATGTTTGTATTCAGGGAGTGATGGAGAACAACAAAGAAAATACTCAGGAGCAGAAAGAACTGTCTCGAAAGAGGAAGGTGGACAGCGTCCAAAAAGTGCCAGTGAAGAAGAGCTCTGTTTAGTTTGCAGCTCACATTTTGGAGGCACCTTCTCTCGCTAACCACCATGTGTTGCACACCTGTCAAAAATTTCATTTTTATTTTGTGGCGTTGCGTTCTTTATTCTTTATTAAAAATATTCATGTTTCTAAGTATTGTGTCTGTGTAGTAAAATTACAATTTATAATTGTTGAATGTCAAGGCCTTGTATCAGTCATGTGCAACAGCACAAGCAGAGGGCTACATCTGTGTACAGTATGAAGACGATTTTATTCAAACATATGCTTACCAGTCGTATACAAAGTATTTACAACCTAAATGGTACATTTTTTTTCTTTTTACAAACTAAGATTTTACTTAATATATAAAATTATATATTTGCTGTTTATAAAAAGGAGACAAACATCATAAGGCTGTAGTGAGTCGATACCATTCTAGTTAGAGGTAGTTACATTGTAGGTATATATATTTCTATATGTTTGCCTACTACAAAATCTGCAGGAAGATAACCATGTCCCACTCAGCCCATAAGTCTGCTTGCCCCCTGTTCGGCAGAGTTGCATAATAAAGACCAAAAACATGTAAACCAAATGAAGCTGAATGTGCAACTCATCTGTTTCACTCTGCTGTCACCTAAAGAATTACACTTTTATAACAGTTGTAACATGGATGTTGATGAAAACAGCTAGCTTACACTGGTAAATTGGCCAGTTGTTTTTTTTTGTCATCCTTTTTTTTTAACAAGAAGTCCCTTTTAGGTAGACCAGATCCTAATGATAGCATACGATTAATATTAAAAAGAAACTCCATTTAAAATGACTTATAAAAAAAGACAATTGATCATTTCTTGCATGTCCTGTTATCACATTTCAGAATCGATGTTTATTTGCTCTGAGTAAACCGATGATTTGTCTGATGCTTAGATTTTCAATGTAGTTGACAACTTTCCAGTTATTTCTTAGTTGTTCAAGTCCAACATTGACTTAGTCCACTGAAAAGTCTCTGAGATTGTGATTAATTTCAACAGCACTGGCATTTTCATTTTTAAAAAGTCTTTTCAATGAATGCCATGTCAAGTCACACCCTCATTTATTCGAGGCTCATTGTAGAGGTTTTTCTCATCGACTTCTCTATAGTCCACGACATATTCTGTTGAGCCATTCGTAGGAGCTTATAAACCTATAATCCAGAGGTGGTCCTGCTGCTGCAGCACAATGACGGTCCCTTAATGTCCATGATGCCCAGATTTTCTGACAGCTAGCTTAGTGGCTCATGAGTGGGAGGTGAATCATGATAGCGCAACACAGAAGGAAGGTGTCATGAATCACGTCTTGATCCAAGATCTCCGGACATTCGTTGTTGCTCTTCCTCCCTCATTCTGTGGCTCTCTCCCTTTCTCTGGTTGTGAGAGTGGGTATTTGGCAGGGGATGAGCGCAACCGAGGAAGTGGAGGAGCAGTGGGAGAATCTGATTGGGTCCAGTCGGGGCTGTGGAGAAGACCCCCCGCTGTGCATGGCATCCGCCTCACCGAGGGACACCTGCACCGATGAGTCGGAGCAGGAGCTCTTCTCCGTCTCCACGGAGACCAGCGAGTCCAGGGTACGGCCCCGGCGCAGCTGCGGCCGGGCTTTGGGGCGAGGCCAGAAGAACAACTGAGAGTGGTCTCTTGTGAAAAGCAGGAAGAGGAGCGGGTTGAGACAGGCAGGCAAAGGCTGCAGGAGCAGAAGGACCGACTTCAGAACCTCCTCTCCTAAGGACAGGAAACCCAGCAGGGAGCAAAGGGAAAGGAAAGCTACTGGCACGTAGAGGAGGCCGTTAGTGAATATTAGCCAGGCGACATGTTTGATCATGGCGCAGTCCCACAAGCCCTCGCACTCCCCCCTCAGTAACTCCCAGTAAAGACGGATGTACGATCCCGTGACTATGAGCAGGCACAGGGTGTTCATCATGATAAGAGCCAAGGGAAAGCCAAGGGACGATGGCAGGCGAGAGGGCGGCGGTGGCAGGGGCGAGGGAAGGCAGAAAGGCGAGGAGCCGTACTCTCCAACTCCAGCCAGAGGGAGAGAGGCGAGCGCGAGGGACAGAGCCAGACAGAACACCGCACACGTGCGCACACTCCCGAGCGACGGGGATTTGCCGTAGGCCCGGGCGCAGGTCACGCTCACGCCGCACTGCACGGCGGCCAGAGTCAGCAGCAGCACGCTGGCCTCAGACGCAAACACCCACACCCATCCGGTCGCCTGGCAACCGGGGCCTCCCTCCCAGCGCGCTCCGTGGTGGCTGAACTCGCCCAGAGTCAGAGCGTCCACCAGGGCCAGCGTGCAGGTGCACACCCCCGTCAGCAAGTTGGAGGCGCCCATGCACGCCACCGTGAAGCGAAGTGGTGACAAGTAGCCGGACGAGCCGAAGAGGGACAGGAGAAGGATGGAGTTCCCCAGCAGCGACACTAGAGAGATGGACCACAAGCCCACACGCACAAGCCAGCTGCCCAAAAGGGAATCACAGGGACGGAAAGGGCCTGTAACAAAAAAAAAGGCAAAGCTCATGAGTGGAAAAATGGAAAATTCCTGGCCTTACATCACTGAATGTATTTGAACTTGAACTTAGATTACCGGGTATGGGTGTGCATTGCACACTGGTCTGCAGTTTGGATTCTTCGATTTCAAGCTGGAACTCTTCCAGGTCAGTGTCATCTGAAAGACAACATTGTCATACGGTAACTATTTAGTTGTATGTGCAGGATTTAGATTTTTTTTTGTTAATACACACTTTATTCGAGACGCATACCTGCTATGCACATCTGTGTGGTAGACTTAATGTGGTGCTAGCTATGTTAGGGTCTTGTGATTGTCGAGGCAGGTTCCAAAAACAATCTTTTGAAATGATGGGTGAATTTTTGCAAGCTGGCATAAGGTTTAATTGTCATGACAGGTTTATGTGTTAATCAAAGTGGGATCCATTTGAATCACGACTATGTCACAATATGATTATTCTTTGTTATCGTTACTCAGCAATTGTCTATTTTCAGTATTTGTGGTGTGAGTTTAATGGTTTTTATCTCAAGCTAATTTTGGATTACTTGTGTGTTTATGTTTTTATGGGACCACAGGAATGCGCTGCATGGAGGTGTAAGAGTGTCAGGTGCCAAACAACAGTGGTTTCAGTGAGGCTTTGACACGTTTCAGGCTCAGAACTGAACACAAACAAAACGCTCTAGGAGTATCTGATGTATGTAGACGCTTAATGCATGCTGGCTTACAGTGTGTGTCAGCGTGGATGGGATAAATGACTGCAGTCCTCTTGTGAAGGTCCTCCTGAGTGCTGCTCTGCTCCGTATCCCACTGGCTGGCTGGTTTGTAGCTATCGCAGGACGCGTACACACAGCACTGGTAGGCATACGGCATCTCCACCACCCTGTAAAAAGCAGATGTGTTCACAACGGGCAAAATGGAACAAAGTAAATGCATAAAATATTGTTAGCTTCAATGAGTTAATAGTTTCTGCCAAGAGTAACCTCTGCAGGCTTTCTTCCTCTGAATGTATTCTTTATCCCCATCCGTGCAAACAACCTGAAGGGAGGATGGATGATCTTTGATGTGGATGGCTGTATGCAGCCATTCACCGTGCTATTTTTGTATCCAAATGGATCTTGGCTCTCTGCCAGAACTTTTGGTCTACAGTAATGCCGGTATTAGGTCTGTCTTTGAAGCTTTTTCTGCATTTAGACTTCACTGTACCTTTCCAGCCCTTCAGGGGTGTCTGCAACAAGAGCTAACTTGCTGCTAACAAATCCCTCCTCATTGTCGAAGTTCAGCTCAGGAATAGCTTGCAGGGTTATGCAGTAATCAGCCATTTTAGAGACTTGGCTGCTTCTGGTGAACTGATATTGATAGCTCTTTATAAAAGGAGGCATAATTTAAGGGGTGTGAGGGGAGGCATTATTTGCAGCCACAGGATACACACCTGGATCATTAAATAAATGATTGGTCCATTCACATTGGGAACCATATTGTTCAAAGAAAACATTGAATAGATAGTTTATGTGTGTGTTACCTCATGTGGGGAAACTGATCAGAGCTGAAGGCCTGATATAATTCTGGGTTCCCCTTCAGCTTGAGATGGGTGAGGCCCCCCAGACCTGCAACGGGTATGGAGCTGAGACGGTTTTCTGTCAGGTCACTACAGTGAATTAAGAGGGAAACAGAATATAGCATTTACTACATTGTAGCTTTTTACTGTTAAGAGACTTACTTAGACGTGGGGGGGAGGGTTAATATTGTGTGATGGATATTTTAACCTGTTCAGACAAGGTGCAGTATCAGATTTCCCCCAGATTCTGCTTACTGTCAGATGTGGAGAGTGCCCTCATTTGATTAGACAAACCTAAGTCTTTATGTAATCCCAGGGCTCTTACATACTGCTAATTTCTTAGTACACAAATTCATCATGCCTCAAGGGGAGTAGGGAGATGCTGATGAAAGATCAGCTGAAAGGTAGAGGAGTCTTACTCAGTACTTAGTCTCTGTTCTTACTCACAGTTTGATCAAAGAGTGGAGCGAGGCAAAAGCATCTGGGTGGATCCACTCTATCATGTTCCAGCTCAGATCACTGTCGGGAAGGAAAAAAAGAGAAAGATACAAGGTGAACTGAAATAAACCTGCACAAATTCCAGGTCCACACTTGACTTTGTGGGCCTCACCACTGGGTGTCAGTATCAGGACATCCACTTCCACAGGTGGAACCTAACCAAAACCCCAGAATTTTCTCGCTAAAATGAACCAGCGTCTACTTCTACTTTTTCCTACTGTTGGTGTTTTACATTCTCCTCCACACGTTCAGTTAAATTCAGAGTTAATGTGCATAGTACTTTACCAGATAAAAAAAAGCTGAGATTTGTTTAACACAATTATGTTTTGTCGTTATTCAATGAAGCCTTACATCTCTTTGACTTCCTGGGTGGGGCCTTGATGCCAGGGTTGGGAGCCACTGATAAATAGGATGATTGATTGACTGTAATTGTGTAGACTTGAGCTTTTCAAGTCTTACTGACCACTTAAAGTGATTTACACTACTGGATTCTCCCAGTGTTTGTGCCGAATGCACACATGCTTTATCCTTACACGACCACACTCATGAACAGATGACACACAGGGACAATTTAAAGTTCATGGTCCTGCCTAAGGTCCGGTCACGTGAACCGGCGCAACTGGGGATTAAACTACCCCACTGTTGATTAGGAAATGACACATTCTACCCCAGACACTGATTTTAAAGGATAATCACATGTAGCGTGTGAGAAGGTAAGAGGGCTAAAACAAGGGCTGACTCACAGTGATCTAAGTGAGGTGAGTAGCTGGAAGGTGCTGGACTCTATCCTCCTTATCAGGTTATGCTGTAGTCCACTGTCAACGACAGTACAAGAGTTTATGAACAACGGATACAAGAGAAACAGCCATGTGGCGTTCACAGTTTTGTTCTTTTGGAGCTGAAGTACTCACATTTCTTGCAGTGCTGAACAGTGGTAAAAGCTGGGAAGATCCGCTATCTGGTTGTAAGACAGCTCCCTACAATAAGCACAAAAAGCAGCTCTCAGAAAGCATTCAGGAGCACAGTGACCAGCTGTGGACTTGTAGTGTGGGAAATTATGGGGTGACAGGATTATTTGAGTGTCAGCTCTGTGAGCATGTCAGTGTTCTTTTTACGGGGATGTGTGGGGGCACAGTGATTGGATTTCATAGCAAAATGATTGTGTGGATGATTGCTCGGGGGTAACACTCTCCACAGTTGGGTTTTGTATATCAGTTTTTGCACCTCTCACCCCCTTTTCAACATGTGTGCGTGCTTTTGTGTGTACTTACAGAACTCTGAGGCGAGGCAGCTGCTCACACAGATCCACAGGGAGAGCTGTGAGACCGGCCCGAGTCAGCGTCCTGTGGAGGAAAAGAGGTTCCTCTGATCATTGTTGGAGTGCAAACAAGCGAAAGGATGCCCCCGTCCTGTGAGTCTAACTTTGGCAGACAGGCAGCTGTGCAGGCTCCCTGAAAGTGTCAGTGGCTGGCATAACTAGCCCATCATTCTTATCCTCCTGTTTGTTCTTCATCTATTTTAGAGCCCTTAAACGCACATTTGTCCTCAACCCAGGTGTATTCACATACTTTCATGCTGTGAAATAACGTGGGCATGTATGACACTCACAAAATTTCCAGGCTGGTGGTTCCTTTCAAATCGGGAAACTCTTGAATCTGGGTTGCCCCATTCAGAGACCTGCAGTCAAATGAGTGGGGAAAAAGTGTCAGACAACTATCTTTCTCTTTGTTTCTCTCCCTTACAGTGACGCACTCCTTCCATGAACACAGACCGTGTAGAACAGCTAATTTCAGCCATCAAACTGTTGCTCCAACATCAACACACGCTGTTTTGGCCTTCTCACCAGACATCATAAGTCACAGCCTTCAACCGGTTCTCACAGCACACTCTCTCTTACCACATCAGCACATAGTACAGCCATGCGCTATCACAACATCATTCAGTAAGCAATTACACATGTCCACCTAACTTTCAATGCCATGGAGAGGGGATGATTTAAACTGCCTTTGTGCTAACTCATGGGAATGTTTTTTACTGACCACATACTTACAGCGTATGTAGCTTAGGTAAAAACTGGAATGCAGACTTTCCAACAAACTGGATGGGGTTCTCATAGAAATGACTGCAAGGAAAAGAGAAATAAAAATAAGACGTGTTGTCTTTATGTTGCGTATACACTTTCATGATGTCACGAATGAAAATCCAACTCACATGGTTTGGAGCTGAGGGTTTCCCACAAACGCTCTCTCAGGGATTGCTTTGATATTGTTGTTATGGAAGCCCCTTCAAATATAAAAAGACTGTTAGTGAGACCCCCAATCAATGCGCATGAGTTTTTGTGTGTGTGTGTGTATTTGGAGAAGTGACAGTTTGTGTTTGTGAGTGAGAGGCAAGTCATATGTCCTCGGTGCACCTGCCGTTGCACAGCTGAAAAACATTTTTGGACACACGAGATGCAAACACACACACACACACACACAAGCTGTATCTGTGTCCCATATGCGCGCTGCGAAACATCTGCTGAAGCAGAGGAAAAACACTGCTTGTGTACATGTGCATGCGCAACTGTGTTTATGTGCAGGCGAGCGGCTGCGTGGGTGTGGAGCCAACACCTGCTTAGGGCGAGAGAGATTGTATCCGAGTGCCACATTAAAATCACTTAACGGGATTACTCGGGATAACGCAACCATGATAGTCATGCCGGGCAGGTGTGTTTTCGTGAATGTGCGTGCATATGCGTACTCACAGTTCCTGGAGTTTGCTCAGTGTTCTGATGGCCAAGGGGAACTCCTGTAGGTCATTGTAGTTTAAATCCCTGCAAGCAAAATAAACTGTTAAAGTATATCTAACACAATGAAGTCCTTCAGTCCTTTATTTTTAATCTCTGCTGTTTGAGGCAGCAATTCATCAAATCTAATGGTCTGTTTCTTTGTTAGAGAGTGTCTGATTGCATACGTATGCAATGCAATATTTTCTCTTGTTTCGGCACTGTGAAGCAGGAAGTTTAGGACTGACTCTTGAACTTTGCTGCTCTGACATAATCATGTAGGTTGTTTTCCTCATTAGTTTGCCAGAAAACACTTACCAAAACATTGCAGTTATAGTCAATGTGCAGTTCAAAAGCAGGTGCCCGAAAAATGGGTCTCAGGGATTAGTAATACTATTAAAAGCAATTCACAGATAAAGAAAATAGTACTGAAATTTTTAGGAGTGTCACATTCTGCTGCCTGCCCTTGGTGGCGGAACCCCTCGAAACATGTGGTTCAACATAACCCCAAATGGCAACGACAGTCCCTGAGCACAGGAGCCTGACTCACCTCATAAACAAAAGAAAGATAAATTATTCATGCCAAAGTCATGAAAGAAAACCTGTAAGTGTTGCTAATGTGTAGAAAGGTTCTGCTTGCCTGCATATGCCTTTGAGTTTGAGTAGAAGATGAATAAATTCTAAGCAATTTAAAGAAAACTATTATTATATTTTTTTATCGTTGAATGATGTGAAATGTAAAATGTTCAGAAAAGGGACTTTTTAAAATCGCATTGAAATGTACCTTTCAAATGTTCCTTTTTTTAATGACATGACGTAAACGCTGTCACCGTTATGACCACCATAGTGGGCCATTGGAGAACCCAGTTTGGTTAACCAGTGACAAAAACCCCTCAGGATATGCTTCAGGAACATAACTAAGAGCTAAAAACATTAAACCTCATCGAAGATCCACAGGATGAGCTAGAACAAGTCGGACCCACTACACAATCACACCACAGAAAACACACCCATAGGCTCTGGCTATAAGCCCTGATGGGTCATAGCTGCCTCTGCAGAGTGAGGGGGCGTTACACATTATTAAGGGGTTTTAATGTTGTGGTCGGCCATTGTAAGTATTATATAAACTGTAGATTTACTTGTGCTCATGGGAAAAGAAGAGGCTTGTGATATATTTCAAGTTTCTCGGAGGGATGTCTAAATGTTCTATCTGACTGAATGTAGTTTCATACCATCCATAAAGCCAGGTGCCGTTAACAAAGGCCAATGCAACAGCTATACATGTTTTAAAGATTCTGCTTGCAACATTTCCCTGTCTGCATCTGCTGGGGTTTGCATTTATTGTTGATTTTTTCAGCAGGCAGTTGGATTGCTCCTTTCCGTAATGATTTTATAATGCACACAAGGGGTTGGGGATGATGGGGTGATACAGATGGTCTCTCGTATTTCTCATAAGCGAGGCCGCTATGAGAGATGAACCCCTCATACCAGCACAATCCCCACGTCAGTGACACCTGTCATCTTATCCCGCCGAATCATCTGTCTCTCCCCACTGCTGACGGCCCAAACACTTTAACACACACTATTCTGGTCCAGAGAGCACTATCCCTCTTTTTCACATTCTCTAGTTTCCCTTCATCCCCTTAAACCGTAGCTAGCCTGACTTACACCCTTTTCCCTCACATTTCCCAGCATGCTTAAAGGCTTTTAAGTTGAGTGTAAAGCTGGCCATACGCTTATGATTGCACAGGCAGAAGGACTTACATATATGCAGACACATGCATGCATGTGCCCACACACATGCTCATAAAAAGGAACACATAATTTTTTACACTTCAACAGGTTGTTAAGCAGCATGCCAGAAAATGTGTTTTCATCAGACCACCATGAATTGCGCAGGAGACAAAGTTGCAACTGTGTCAGTTTCTCCTGCTTTCTTTCTCCACCTCTTTCATAAGGCTGTGTCAGTTTTCTGTGGTTTCCATTTTTGTGTGTGGTTAGAATTTAGTTGTTGAAACTATGGCACGTACTCCCAAAAAAACTCCCAGAGCCACACTGTGCTGGTCTTGACCTAAGCACTGCTAAGCAATTACTTTAACAAAACACAGAGGAATCCACTGATGATACTTTTAGGTAATCAAAGAGGATCTTTTCATCCTCACATTCCTGCCGTTCAATTGTTGGTTGTGGTTTTGAGAAACGTTCAAGCACCTGCTGAAATTACCAGGACATTAATCATTATGACTTTACAATTTAGCGCTACGGCTCAGAATTCCTTGGCACACTTGCCGTGTGTGATTTATAAAAACACATTAATTTCACGTTTTCATAGTAACACCCACCAAACACATCAGCACAGTGTGAGAAGAAATGACTTGGATGTATTACCTCTTTGAGATTGTATTCAGTGAGTACCTGGTGTATCTTGGGCTTGCTATAAGGCAATGTGATTGCTGTAAACAGCGGCACACTAAATGAATGTTGATACTCACTGATACTTAATCATCACAAAGTACGCATGAGTGCTTGGGGAAACAAAGAGGTACTAATTTAGGCTAATGAAATGATATCACTTAGATGATTGCACGCTGAATCGGTGTATGCATAATTTTCTTAAAGTGGAATATTTTTCATGGAGATTGCTGTCCAAAACCATGTGCCTGTGAACCTGCGTGTCTGAATGCATGGGAGATACTCACAGGGTCTCCAGGCTGTGTAAACCTTCAAAGCATCTTGAGCCCATGCTCTGGATGTGGTTGTTATGGAGATGCCTGGAAAAGGACCACAAATAATTAGAAATAATAATCAGAAACTGCCGTCCTCACTCTGTTAACGTCGTTAGACCGGCAAATGCCAGAGAAATTCCTCCGGCATGTTGAGTAAAAAAATTTGAGATGTCACTTACAGCACGACAAGAGCCGAGAGGTTGGCAAATGCATAATCTGGGATGTGCGTGATCTCATTGAGGGCCAGGGTCATGGCCTGCAGGGAGGGCAAAGAATCCAGGGCCATCACTGGGATCTGCTTCAGAGAGTTGTCATCTAACCAGAGGTGCCTTAGAGAACGAATGCCCCTGAAGGCCTCAGCGGGAACCTCAGACAACAGATTTGCATCGAGACGCCTGGGGGATGAGAGGAACCGTGCTTAGCTGGACAATCACCAACTGGGTGCACTGGTTTTGCTTATGTGCAGGAGTATCTGTTTTTGTGTGCATTAGAGGTAATGTGTCATAGCATTGAAACGCTTTGGCTTACAGGGAGTTATTATAAGAATTACATGCCTTTTATACTCCCTCTTTGATCTTTGCTGCAGACTCTTAGAAGTTCCTCATTATGATTTATTCCCATGCTAAATAAGCCATGTCAAACTTCACCAGCACAGACATGTGTGAAATGTGAGATGAGAAAAACACAAACATGTAGGAACGATTATGGAGAGCCTGTTTTATTCATCCTGAATTTATTTTTGTTGTGTACAGCTTTCTTTGGTCCGTGTCTGGAAAAAGGGGTAGACAGACAGTTTAAGATGCGTCCTGAATTGTCCCTCCCTCCTTCATTCTTTCCATCAGAGTCTTGTGTTGTACATCTCAGACACAAACACAACTTCTTTCATCTAATGAAGTTATGACACTGGACACACAGATGGACTTTCAAGTCTTCATCCCTACAAAGCTTAAGAAACCTTTAGCTTTTTTCCCCAAAAAAAGGCCCCAAAACCCACAGGCCAAGAGTGCAGATACACACCCCACGTAAACACACACGTGCATACACACTGTCGATAGTGATGAATGATCCCCTCAAGGCAGGGTTGACAAGCTGAGACCACTTCCTCCTGCTATTCTTCTTTCCTTGGCCCTTCACATTCATTCATTAATCTCCTTTTCCTCCCTCCGGCCTCTCTCTCTCTCTCTCTCTCTCTCTCTCTCTCACACACACACACTTGTTTTCACTGATGCACTCCCAGCCGCTGTGAACCCCTTCGCATAACAGTCCTTAACACTTGTTTGTCTTTCAAACAGCTTCTCCTATTAATCCTCTTCTGAGGGTCTTTGATTTCTTTCCTCTTCTCCCCCATTGCCTCTCTAAGGCTACAGCAAACATGGAGCATTGTCAAAGTGAAATCTGGAATTGAACTCTGGACTTTTATCTCCCAAATTACATTTTCCATTAGAAAAGCAACTTTATACACTGACACACACTCTCATAGGCACTCGAGACATCCTCCAGCGTAAATGTTAATGCTGAATATCTCTATACCCAGTCAGAAAAAGCTTTGAGAAATTTCCTGGTGCTTGCTTTCTTTGCACATTTCTTTTCTCTTACAGTGCTAACATCGTCCTCGTATAAACTCACTGCTTCCACTGAGGACATTGTTTTTCCCTGACCCAAGTCAGGGGATGAAAGCTGCGGAAGGCCCTTCGACTGTCTGGGTTCTTCTCTGGGCAAAGTTATAATTGCTCCTTGGGGTAGACCTGCCAGGTCTCCAGAAGGCCCAGACAGAGCGGGGAATGTTCCATTGAAGCCAATAAAGCAGGCTATTTCCTGCCCATCACATCAAAGACTGACAAACGATTATATGGGCAAAAAGTAGAGTAAGAAAGACAAAGATCTCTTAAATGATCCTGGAAATCCGGGGACCTGCCTTTGCTGGTTCACTTCAGCAGATGTTTAAACTTTAATACAATTGGGAACTGTGAAGGGCATGTTTCACTGCCAAATCTCTAAAAACCGGGTTATGCTGACTTAAAAGTGCTTTTGAAACTCATCAGTGGTGATTATGCTACTTAACCTGTGGGATGGGGCCCAAAACATGTCTGTCTGCATACGATGGCACCAAACTAAACAACAGCATTTACACTTTGTTGAAACTATCGTGTTCCAAATAGGGAGATAAATTTCTCTAATTCGTTTGTGGAGTCAAAAAGTAGTGTAGTCTATGATCAAGTCGTGATTTACTGTGGATGAAAGCCTCCTTTATACATTTATACTGATATAAAATCTATGTGCTGACTCATTTTCTGTCTCTCAGTGTTTTTACCTGGTGTGTTATATGCCAATGAGAGGCGCCGACGAGCTTCACTCTCCAAAGCCTTTCCAGTAATCTTTCTCTGCTTAGCTTATCATTACTATAATGACAAGGTGCGTCTCTATACACTGTCTCTGTGTGTGTGTATTCTATGTGTGTATTCAACTTTTTCATTACATGAGTCGATCTCAGTCTGAGCAGAAAAATAGAGAAGACCTCACACACACATTCACACACAAGCATGACAGCTATACAATTGGAACAGGTTAAGTTCGACATAGGCAGATTCACACAAGGGACAAGGGCTTTGGTTGAAACGTCTGGCTGTGTGTACTCTACGCGTACACATGTGTGTGTGTGTGAGTGTAGTATCTTGAGGGAAAACAAGCCTGCTTTATCGCTGATGCTGAAACATTGTAGGTGGTAAAGAAATCACAACTTTAGACGAGGGAAGTGGCTCAATGGATATTTATAAAGCGGTAATAATTCACAGGGAAATGTAGGACGTGTACGGTGCAAAGTTTGGGATACATGAGCAGACCCAAGGAACTGCAGATAAGGTGGTCCACATGCACTAGTCCAAACATGCACAGTGACACACATACCCTGACCCCGCAGATTAGACAATTAAGCCACTGAACACTCTCATTAGCCAGGGGGATAGCAGTGTGGGTGGTGGAAGAAGAGCGGAGGAGTAGGAGTGGAGGAAGAAGTAGGGGGAATTGATGGAAAATGGGGTTGTTTCACAGCTCATTGGAGATGCTCTCCCTGGCTTTCAGTGTCTGCTGTTTCCCTCATGGCTTCCAGATGCTACCATGAACTGCACTGATACAATCAGGGCTGTGACTCCAACCGTCAGGCTGTGGAGCACTGAATGTACAACAGTTGCAGCCAGCACTGGGTTATGGTCTGTAATTTGTCAGTGGTACTCTATACCTGCGTTGCGGTCAAAGCCGAGAGGTGTGGGTGGTCGTGGGGATGTTACATTCCCCGCTGGATGAGGTAGAGTAACATGATTAGTGTGTGTATGTGTAATAGCGAGACTCACAAGGATAGGAGGTTGGGTAGGTCCCATGGAGCATCATCAGGAAGTTTCTCCAGCTGGTTGTTCTGAAGCATCCTATAAGGCAGACAGATGATTCAACGACAGGCATGAGGTCTATCATTTATTTAGTGTGTGTTAGTGTACATCAAGCAGAACAAATAATTCCATAACAAGGCAAATCTGACAAAAGAAGGAGAGGGCCAAAGGAAACCTTGAAGAGAAGCAGAGAATGAAGGCTGGAGGAAAAGAGAACCTCCTTGGGTGGGCTGCTGATGTCATGCTCAGAAGAATGGAGCAAAAATTAGAAGTGGGGGCAAACAATAGCCTTCTCTCTTTCCTCGCCCTCCATTTCTTTCTCTGTCTTTCTCTCACCATTAATTTTGAACTTCAAATGTTGACTGAGTGCATGTGAATGCCAGTGCCCAACAGTGCTGGTGATGCCTTATAAGCCTACCATTATGAGCCTGTGTGTACAGGATCTCACTTCCAAACAACAGATCAATGTCTAATATACAAATGTGATTACATCATTTTCACACAACAGAAGAACCTTGATGCCTCCCATGACAAAACATAAAGAGCTGCGCCACATCTTTTTTTTGGATGGCACTCGTATTATTCATGGAAAGCCTCCGTTAATAATCGTGGCAGTTCAAAAACTAAGAGCTTTATTTTTAGAGGAGATGGGAAATGTTTCTACTGTAATAAAGCTGCAGTGATCTGGATTAAAAGTTATTTGTGTTCATTATAGACAGCATTATACACGTCTGGCATGTCCTAACTTACACCTATATGTTAAGAAAGCGAGCCAAATGTTCAACAACTGTGAGGCCAAAGAGACCCTTCGTTAGTGTTATTGTGGAAACCATAAATGTGTTCAGCTGTGTATTAATTTATGCTACATTAATTGCATAATACTCCATGATTCATGGATGGCTACCTCGTTTTGTCTTGGTGAGTTTCACAATACAGGGTCTCAGAGGATCAGATCGTGTTCTTGGTTATTCTCCAGATTTTCTCAGATTACAAACCACAGTTCGCTAGCTAAGTTTATGTTCTGTGGCATAGATTCTAAAACATTTTTCAGCCAGGATCCAAAAGAAATTGAGCTGGTTGCCAATGCTCATGAAAACCTCCTTAAAACCCTTGTCTTGCACCACAAGAAATATGGCCACAACTCATTAAATGCCACAAGTCAGAAGGTGCTGTGTATTTTATTGCTACTTCACTCTTTTTTTTCCCCGATTCAATACTTTACAGCAGCAGCAGTTGGTGGCCATGGATCATAAGGCTATGAACACAGTACCAGAATAGAATTCCAAAGTTTGAAATCTTCTAAAGTCTAGCTCGGTGCTGTGAGTGAGCAATATCTGCATTACACCTGTGAAGGTGTGCAATGCATATTCTTACATACTGATACTTGTTTAGGACTCAAAGGAGTTGCAATCTGAGCATATCCCCATCAACTCATAAACTTTAACTGCAGTTAATGATGTGCACCCTGTGTGTTTTATTAAAGGTTTGACTCCTTGAAAGCTGAAAAAGAGCATAATTGCTAAGCTTTGTATGAACAAAAACCAACCCTACTAACCTTAGTACAGGTAAGAGGAAACAGGAAGTTACTTACAGGACTTTTAGGTTGTGGAGACCTTGTAGAGCAAGACCCGAAATATACCTCAGCTGATTCCCTGAGATACGCCTAGAAGAGAAGCATAAATAAAGAAAAATAAGAACGTTAAAGTCAAATTTAAAATTGTATTACACCGACAAAAAAAAAAGTACGAATCTCACAGGAGTAGTTTTGCCATTTACTTTATTCAGTGTTTTTGGATGAGGCTGTGATATGACTTCATCCCAGAGTTACTGCTTCGGGGTTACTGTTAGGGCAGTATGCAAATAACAATATTCAGTTCCCCTCACTGTGGTTACTATTGGCCCTGCGTACACTCTGAAACCTTAACCAATCCTTAGAGCTCCCATGAGTGAGTAAAGACCAAGATTGGGTCAATAAGTGCTGTGCATAAGTACATTTGTGTGTAGAGTGTATTATATATGTTATGGATGTCCACACAAACACATGTGCGTTGTGAATGTGTGGCCAAATTCCACGTCCTTGAGGTAAAATTGGGCTTATTCTTAGGGTCCTTGAGGACAGCAGAGGAGAGAAACCACACACATTCACACAAGCAATCCAATCAGATTGTTTATCAAACACAGCACCTAATGGTCATTTGTGAGTGTGTATAAGATGTCCAAATAAATACCACTTGATCCAACAGACTAACTCTCAAGGTCACAAGTTGGAAGTGCAGTTTAAACACAGATTTGGTCATCACGGCCCGAGACCACCCACTTTTATTAAACACACATACGAAAAAGGTTAGTCCCTGGCACCCTCCTCCACCTCACACCACTACTCTGCAGGTGACATCTCAGCTTTATGCTAAGCAGCCTGCCCCTGGTGAAATTGTACCCTCAGTGCCAGCATGAAAAAAAAAGTTGGACTTGAGCGTAAACTGCCTTTCCAAGTCACCGTCATCGAGACGGTAATAGACAAGAGCTCCAAGAAAACTTCTTCTGACATCATACACCCATGTCAACACGGCTCAGTCATATTACTGTGCAGTGGCAAACCACACAACCCCACCCATGCCGGCCAAGTTTCACACTCAACTCAATCTAGTGCTCTTCCAAAGATCACATATTTCAACACAAAGATGCACATCAGCGTGCTGGAGAACAAACCGGACTGGACTGCCTGTGGTACTATTTAGTCATGCCTCAAAAAGACATTGACTGCGCCTCTTGAAGTCATAGAATATATTTCACAAAAATGAGACGCATATTGCTAACAGCTGATCTGCGACCTAATAAATTCCAAAGTTCATTCTTCAGTCAGGATGAAGGAGTTCAGTTTTGCTCTTAAGACTTCATTCATAAAGCAGGATGACTGCTTTAATACGAAGTCGGTTTATGCTATCACATAAGCTGGTCATGAGAGACAAATTAAAAAGTTATATTTCCAGCTGTCTCAATAGGCTTTGCTTAAGTCTGGATGTAAGAAAAATACATTGTCTGAGCTGAATCAACCGAAAGTAGATTTTTTTTGTTTGCTACTTTAGCGCAATGATAAGTTACAAAAATTATTTAGGTAACAAATAAAAACATATTTTGTATCAGGTAAAGAGGAACACCAGTAAATTACAATTTTAGAGAATAAAGCTTGCAGTTTGAGCATTAATGTGATGTCTGCGTTCTGCTGCCGGTGCAGCTTCTCTGTAATAGCTGCAGAGCTAGAGCCAAAACAGCATTTGACTGGAGTTGCCTTTTTCTTCTTCATCTGCCTCTTCTTTACAGACTTCATTTGTCAAATGGACAGCTCTGTCAAAAGTGAAGATGGATTTTGAAAAAGGAAAGACATTTTCAGACAATCCAGATAAACATCAGCACAGTTGCCATTGACCAACTCTTTCCATGATATCAGTGTGCGCATTTATGTGTGTACGTGCGTGTAAATGATTGAGTGTTCTACACTTAGCCTCCTAGTCGTTTCACATCAATCTCACACTAATGAAAGGCGCCTTGCTCTTGTCAAACCATGGCTGCAGCAAGTTTTTCTTTTAACTTGATTTGGGGATTGTCGGAATCGTTGTTGACTGTGCTTAGATAAAGAAAAATCCACTTCAACGCGATTATCTTTGATTAAAAGGACTCAAAGGTAAAAAACGAACAAACAAAAAACCTTTGTATTTCAAATATATGGGTGAGAAATAGGAGTGGTTTCCAAAGGTGAGACCACCCTGTTATTGGTGCTAATCAGTTAGGACTTTACTGAAGCGCACCAACTGCTGATTATCATATGTATCACTATGTTCTGTTGCCTCAGAATAATAAACAAACTGGTAGATTCAAGAGCTAAGAACAAAGATGGAGACCAACATCATATTTTGGGATAGAATCTGGTTTAGTGATAGAGGCACGGCAGGGCCTGGGTGGCTGATAGGAGTCTCTGATGAAAGAAGACGAAGAGGATAAACAGGTCTTATCTGAGAGAGGATGAATTGTGTGTGGGTGTTTTCTGTTAGTACCTTTGCATGTGTGACCTTTGATATCTGTGGTCCATCAAAAGAAATGATCGGTTAAGTGTTTGACCCCTTTGGTCCAGCCTCAGGGTCCACCACTTAACCTGACGTTAACCTCTGAAATTGCTGGGGTAAAATCTGGACGCAAGGAGTGTCTTGTTTGTGTGAATGACAGATTCTTTTTTGGGGAGACAGAAAGACATGAAGACAACCACGAGTGTTGGCGATTTTAAAAGCAGAGGTTCTAATTGAGCCAGATAGTTCCAGCTGTTGGGTGCACCTGGAGCACTAATACAGCCAACGCTCCAACCTCCAGTCTGCCCCAGACGTCATTCTCCCGGCAAATCTGCAGACAATCTTATCACCGTGAAGAAGATAATCACGGCAGCAATGGCCTGCTTTCAGCACTTCTTCCCATTACATTTGGACTACATGCATGAGCCATGATGTTTGAAGCACTTTGACAGGGGTTTAATTGCAATTTCAGAGTGGGTAGAGGTCACATTACAGAATACAGTATTCGATCAATATTATAGCAGTCACCACCATGTGTAAAAACATTTAAACCAAGGCCTCGATGCTCTAACTATTTGTATCTGGCTACTTGTAGGGGTCTCATTCCAGCTCTGTAATTACCGGCACAAAGTGACTGATGTCTACAAATAATGGTGCGTATGAGACATCAGACCCAAATGCTTGATTATGTGGGGAATCAAAAGCCAGAAAAGCGGAGTGAAATTCGATCCCCCAAGGTACAGACAGCGTTCACTTTGATAAAGATGATAGGCTGGAGATGCTGTTGTCGTCTGAAGCGCTTTACAGGAAGAGCTTCGTTGGGGGTGGTTTCTGCTATTTGACCAGAAATGGATAGCGCATCTTTGATAATACTGCGGGACATGTGAAAAGATGCTGCCCTCTCATTAAACAACAGACATGCTGTCTACCTCTCTGTTGCCTCCCCTCGGACTGCATGTTCCTGACAGTTGCGTGCAGTTTTGTGTTTAAATTATTGGGCAATTCACAGATCAAAGTATTAAATGAAGGCTTAATGAGACGAATCCGCGATCAATAGAATAGGATTAAAATGAAGGAGTTAGAAGTAGGGAAAGGGCTGGAGGGAGGAATGATTACACTTACATCTTATGATCAACGTTAATACTACTGTGAATCAAAGGCAGATTTGTCCTGTGAGTTAATTCAATATCCTCGCCAGAGGTTCAAAGGGATTAGCCGTCTGCACTTTGATACAATAAAGGTAAGACCTGAGCCAGGAGATAAGAGGTAGTATGGTATAGTTTATGTTTAAGAGCTTCCCCTGAAGATTTTATTCTGTCTCCTCCCAGTTGTGTAAAAAGGGATGAAAGTTCTTGCCATGAGCAGATTTGTTTTGTTTGGTGAGAAACGTGGAAAGAGCGAAAAGGGGGAAAGAAGAAAAAGCGATCAAAGGCAGAGACTATTGCTTGCAATAGCCTCTGGTAAAATATATATGGGGGGCTGTAGAAATGAATTGGAAGGGAGGGAGACAGAGCAAGAGAGGGTAGTGAAGCCGAGCCCAACATCAAACAATTTATCACTCTGCTAGTCACAACATGCCTGGCCCTTGCCTCTCCTTGTGCTACCAACCATTGCAGCAGTTCCACATCAAAAGCTGTCTGTCTCAAACCAACTGTGTTTGTGCTTAGAGCCTTGGTTTGTTTTTCTAAGAGCCATAACTTGTTGTAATTATAATCTGTTTCCATTTATGCTCTACCTCCCAGTACCATGTAGAAAGAGGTAAATGTACTTTTCCCCATCTTGGAACGTCATCGTCATCTTCTCAGCACTTCTCCAAAAAATGGTCAACAGGCAACACAATGTGGCCTTAAGGCAGACAAATCCCCCTCAGAAGAAGTACAACTGAGCAGAATGTCTCTATAAAGTGTGAGAAACACAAAGCATCTTGCTTGGGGTGGTAAAATGCAGGTGTTTCATCCAAAGCTCCACACCCTTTCCCCAGTGCAGGTACAATGTCAGCATCCCCTTGCTCTGTGTGGCTCACATTATCACACCCACAACAGAGTTTTACCTTAATGGTCTTAAAAGCGAAGCAAAGTATCAGATCTGCAAAATGTAAGATCTGCCATTCAATGATATGCCACAGATCAAAGCCTGAGATTCAATATTCAGATTCTGAGCTGCCGCAAAATCTCATCGCTCGGCTCAGTTCTGCCATCCGTGCACCGTGAGGTCATGACTGAAAAGTGAAGCGAGCGCCGTTCCAGCTAACCTTTTACTTTCATCATCATTAGCTCACGCCTCACAGGCTGCAGCTGGAAGAATTAGTAAAGAAAACAGCCGACTGTTCAAACACCCAGCGTAGACAAACACCGCGCCGAAATCAGAGGGAAAATAATCACGTGAAGACTGACATGCACATGTTTTCCGCCTCGGGGCAAATTTTTGCTGGCAGCTTTTGTCAAACCGATCCAAAATCTGCAGAATTTTCGGATTAAATATCATCAAAGTTTATGAGGACAGTGCCATAAAAATTCTGCAAATTAGTTACGCCATTCTTTATGACGCTAACTTTGAATTTAATTCCATGCAGCTGAGTGGGCTCTTTTTTGTTAATATTTTTACTAAAAACAGCTTTTGATTGTATTAGCAAAGAGTAGTATACAGCATTTAATAACATATAATAATATGTAAAAAGAGAACATGTTAAAAAATATCCATCCTACAAAAAATCAAAACTCAGGAATCAAGTGGACTTTTGAGAAAGTTTTTTTTTAGATATAGTTGTGCCAACTTTACACATAATCTATCCTACTATGATGGCAAAGATACACAAATTGAAATCAAGTACCAGAATAAGGAGTATCATTAGTTGTAGTAGTTAAGGTATTGTTTTAAACAGTTTTTTTCAGTCACAAACACAATATTACTATGTTTTATACATAACAAACTCTATCATGACTTAAATATCTTCACAACTCATGAAAAGTGCCTTTTATGATCCTTTAAACTGAACCAATGTGTCAACTGAGCATGTTTACACAACTGAAAGAAAAAAGCTGCACAATGCAGTTTGGGTTCCGATTACTCCTGCAAGTATATGCTCAACTAGATTCAAATAGAGCGTGGAGCTCTGCACTCTAAGTTCCGTATTTTACAAAAACATCAGTGAAAGCGTGTGTTAAAGCCAAAGTGTTCCCACAAAACTGCTCTCAGTCACAACATTTTTCTGTTTCAACTTGTCCGAGATGAGTTTGCAAGAAACTGTGACTTCATTTTAAAGAAATAATTTAAAGGAATTTGTATTTTATTACCGCAGCTTAACAAAATCACCATCGAACGTAAGCAGAAGAAATTACCAATAAAACTGGGGGTGACAGAAGCCCACTGTACCTCCAATGAAACCACTACAAGCAGCCTGGCAAGCGATGCAGGCCTTTGTTGACCCCTTGTGAGGGTCACTGCTCGCGGGACTGTTTTTTTGTGCACAATCATGGTTCCACCGCAATATGTGTTCATCTTGGCAAGGCATTGCTCCTGCAGAGTTGACCATCTAAGACAAAGTTAAAGGGGGGGAAAGCAGGAGCTTGGATGCTAAACACACACCCTACTCTGCAAATACCTTAAGGAGCATATATGCGCTCTTTGCGACTATCAGGTTCCCTTTTGTTCCCTCTTTTGTGCAGCCATCCTAGGATCTACTTGCATATTACCGCAGGCAGTTTCTTGGTGGGGGAGTTTAGACACAGGCCAGAGCCATCAACCCCATCACTGAGGTCTGCACGTATGAGCAGTTCAGGAAATGACTGTTTCTTGTCATGTGTGAGTTGTGTCAGTGGGGGGGGGGGGGTTCATAAACTGAGCATGAGCGGAATGAATTTGTACTCACAGCTCTGATAACAGGTGCAGTCGGTGGAAGGCTCTGGGCTGGATCTCACTGATGTTGTTCATGCTCAGATCCCTGGGGACACAAAATGGAAAGCATCAAAATAAGGAGTCATTTAACATAAACCTTATTGTTGGCCTTTGAAGGCACTTAGAACGTAAAATATCAAATGTCTCAAGAATGTTTTTTTAACTTGGCAATCAATCACCCAGAGCAAGAAGTAGGACATGGAGAGGTTAGAGGGTTAGGTAGAGAGGTTGGAGGACAAAAAGGGTGGAGAGGGAGATGTAGAAGAGAATTTTCCCCAATGAATCATTGTTGGGCAGCTGTAATTTCCTCCTCGTCCCAGTGACTCTTTCTCTTTTCCAGATGTCTCACTCCACTTTCTTTCACATCTGACCCTTCAGCCTCCCCTCATATCTATCTCTCTTTCTCTTGCCCCCCTTCAGTGTCCTTTCTTCTTCTTCTTTTTTTTTTCGTGCTCAGGTTTCTGAGGAGTCCACCTCCTTCCTCCGCCTTTTGTTCGGGGCTCTGACGTAGACACACTCCTCTGACACAGCCTCTGTCGTGAGAGGGTTTTCTTGTGGGGTGGGGAGTGTTGATGCAGCTGGGTTGCGGTAAAAGAGGGAGAGGTGAAGGATGCTCAGACACGTGCACACACACACACACACTTGCACAACATTTTAACATTTGGAGAGAAGTTTTGTGTCAGCCTCTGGTAGAAAACATATATAACCCTATGGCCCCAGTCATGTCAGGTCATCTCCTTGATAAACACAATGAAAGCAAGGAGGTGTTACGTCAGCCCCTTCTTTGCAAATCGCAGTCCTTAGGGTCTCGCATGACTCTTCAGGAGTTAGCTTCATACGTGCGTGTGTGTCTGTATGTGTGTATGACACAAACCATTGCTCATAAAGCCGGACCACCGGGCTAGCAAGTCTAAACTGTGCGCTCAGAAGCTCTTTGCAGTTGGAAGTTTTGACACACTGGTTGTTTGTTTGCGAAATCGGCCAAGCCGAATGAATCCGCCTCAGGCACGATCTACGTCCAGATCCAAGGGAGACACGGAAACCGCTGCATGGCAATAATATGGTCAGACAATCAAACTATTTGAGCTTCCTGTCAAAATTAGCAGATGAGATAAGTTGAGTACAATAAGGGGTTGGTGTTATGTCAGATATTTCACATCAGACCAGTGGATGTGGTCTCCAACTTTCAGTGGAGGATGGAGGGGTGATCTCACTGTTTGATTTAGAGTTTTGTTGTTTGTCATGATATTTATGGAAATATAGGAATGTACCGGAATGTCCTGTTTTAAACGCCCCATTCACAACATTTATAATGGCAGGGCGAGTGTTTCAAGGCATCGAGGACAATCTATTTGACTTTATTTGTATTTGTATTTGTTTCTTGTATTTTGTTTATTTACTTTGAACTGATTCTATAATAGATTAGAATAGGTTCTTATTGTTTCAGTGTCACAGGTTTGTTATATTACTAGCTAAATATTTGTACTTGCAGTTGTGCTAGTTTCCTATCTCCATAGCAGCCCGGAGCGTTTGGATTATCTAATTTACTCGTACATCTCAGGTACATTTTTCTACACATTTAGCACGATGAGTGAGAGTGATGTTGACAGCTGAGACTTGAGGATAAGAGTGGGGATAAGGATAAACAGGATAAGGCTAATAAAATAGCAGACAAAGGAGGCAACAAGGCAGTGTAAATAATTTCGGAACAGAAATATTTAATAAAGGGTTTGCAAATATTTATGAAGAAAATGAATACTTGTTCAGTGTGTTTGTGTAATCCTAGCTGTGTTTGCTTACAGTGGAAACCAGGCACCTTCAAATATTATTGCCTCATTACATGTTCCTTATCTTATCCAGGCGTCCGTTTATACTGAAAATGAAGAAGTTGCTGTCAAATGAATGAAATTATGTAAGAGATAAGATGGAGGACATACAGCTTCTGAATCTTTTGTGTAGGGTTGTAAAAATGTGGATAACTTTAATAGATGATTTCCCTTTAGTATCACAGACATGTTTCAGTGAAATTAATCACCCGGAAAATGAATATTGACCTTATTCTATTCTATTCTATTATTAGCCACACAAATATGGTATTCATTGTATCATTTGAATACACTTATGGGAAAAACGACTCAATCTCATTTAGATTGTCAACTCTCTCAAATTCTTTTAACATTCTATCTTCTTGGAAAAAAAACCTTCACCTGACAAATCCTCATGTGAAATCAGAATTGGTTGCTGCAGATAGGTGTCAAATCTTAGAACATCCACATAAAATTGTTCATGAAACCTGTGTTAAAACACATGTAGTCTTTGGTCTGTTATTCTCTTTGTCACTGAAGTATGCAGCATCATAATACCAGGATTAAACAAACACACATATATGTCCAAATTGAAATAACAAAGCGATTCCTACAAATAAACTTTTCTATTGCAACTAAAATGCATTTTCCCAAACTAACTAATAAAAAAAGCAAGCTAAGGACCTAAGATTACTCTTGCAAATATAGTGGTCAAAGTCAATGACTCCAATATTGAGACACACCAAAAATATGCAGTAAAAACTAGAACTACTGCCATTACTCTGCTGTCATATTCTGTTATAGTTTGCTTGGTCTTGGTGGGTTTTTAACAACAGAGAAACTATTGACTATCCACAGAAATATTAAATAATAGTATAAGAATAGCTATGGGTTTTGAGTCAACTCGTATATCATTATTCTGGAGGGTTTTAATGAGTTTTTGAAGATAATGTGTCTGCGGGTTGGGCTTTTACTGAAAGTGGATATTTTAGCAGGATAATGGTTAAACACCAGTAAATCCACCAAGAGGGAAGAAATGTTGGATTATTGTAGAACAGCCAAGTCAGGCTCCAGATTTGAATCCCATCAAAAGAGTTGTGGAAAGATGTGAAATGATTATTACATGCAATCATATCCTCTAACATCTTGCAACTGAAGGAATTCTGCATGGAAAACTTGTCAAAAATCTCAGCAATGATTTCAGACAAATAGGAAAGTTAGTTCTTCCATGTGGATAGAAAAGTTTCTGTTAAAACTGATTCTTATTGTTTTGTTTAAACATCACCCCCTCTGTGTTTCAGAAAAGAGCCTATGCATGTGTGTAAAAAAGTGAATAGATTAAACGTTTTTCAGTTTTTTTTTTCTGAAAGCGTATAATTCATTTGATACATTACCAAATAATAACGCCTGAGTTTCCATAGAGATTACACTGAAAGCAGAAATCTGGATGAATAGTTAATCAAGACTGGGTGACATCATGTATAACAGCCAAAGTGTGTGGCCTCACGAACAATACACATACACACCTTAATCCTACTCATCCTCTGTGTTCAAATATTCTATTGAGCAAAGTATTTATTGGAACGTCAGCAGGAATAATTAAGACGCAGCGACACAGACACACACAGACACACACAGACACACACAGACATGTGGGTATCTACAACAAGCTTCTGGGGATGCGCCCACAGATGGAGACAGCACTCCATTATCTGGTCCTGATTAAAAGAGCCATAAACAAACGTTGTGTGAAGTCCACAACAGCGGCCTCACGTACACAGAATCAACACACATAGCAATGGAGAGAGGAAGCGTTTAAAGAATAAAGACGCACGCTGGTGAGTCATGGGGAAAGGTTGAATGCAGCTCCGCTCGGCTGTGCACTCCAGCGAGCTCGCTGGGAAGCTAGAGAGAGACATTTCTGCCGTGCAGGCCAAGGCCTCTGACAACTTGACGTATCGTTGGAAGGCATCGCTCTATGGCTTGTTTTTAAAATCAAATAACAGCTGTGGCTTTTTTAAACCATGATAATTATGATTGATGACTACCACATGTGCATTGTGTCGGCTGGCGCTGCGAGGTGCAGATATTTTCAGCGCAAATAAATGGCCGCAAAAAGAAATGAGACGAAGAGTGCTCACAATTTCATAATTAGAGCCCCCCCCACTCCATTTTATGGGCATCTCCAGCCTGTCTGTTTGCGTGGGTGCTGTGTGAGAGAGATTGAGAATGGGGGCAAAATATGTGTGTCAATATCTGCATCTGTGTATGCCATACAATATTCCTGCCATTTATAGGTGGTTGCGGTGCGTGTGGTAAGATGTCTGTCGCTCATTTTCACACCCCTATTGTTTCCCAGCTAGCCTGCAGATGTGGCGGGTACAGTGCCTGGTCGCGCTTTCACCACATCATACGGAGAGTGTTGCCGGGGCTATAGAGGCAGATTGCTGTGTGAGGGACAGAATGAAAGCACATATGGTTTCTTTTCTTCAGTTTTTATACGAGTACTCAGCAGGGAGTCGTTCTGCCCTGTCTTGGCCTTCACAGCATCGAGACAGAAGCTTGTTGGACAACACGTCTCTCATCTTACGGAGGCGGAGGCCATATTCCCGTTCTCCCTGAGATCCCCTTCTTCTGCTGCTGAATGATCAACTAAAGACTACAAAGCAGAGTTCAGAGTGTACTCATCATCAAACACTCCCAAATGGGCCTCCTAACAGTTACTTTTAGCCTCTTTCTTTCTGACTCTCCAGAATTACTGACAAAGCCCCCCAGTGATGTCTTTCTTTTTCCCCAAAGAGGAATTTGATTTCAGCATGTGCGGATGCAACTTTCCTGTGTTTAAACACAGTAGCATGTGAGAGCAGAATTGCAGCAATTTAAGCAGAAAAAGAATGTATTTGATCATTTTCCATTGCTGTTCTACCATTGTTCCGTGATCTGCAGATACACAATGTACTTTGATAGATCGTCCAATCTTTTGTCTCCACAGTGTGTGTGTGTGTAAACTGAGAGAAAAAAGGCTTGGCATGGGAAGAAAGGTAAAACGCTGATTATTTGACTTCCTGATGCTGTGTGTGACAGAGTATCCATGGCAAAGAGCTTGTCTTAAGGGAGGAACAGGAGCATGAAGAGGCAGAGGTACATTCCCATTCATCAGCTTCGGCCTTTTCAGCCATTTGCTTGCTTCGCTCCATCTCTCACTCTCTTTCTTTCTGTATCAGTGTTTTAAATTGCAACTGGAGCATGGGGTTGTGCCGTCCTGCGGTTACAATGATGTGATTTATCATATTTCCACTTTGCCGTCAGCAGGACTACTGAAGTATGTTATCGGCCCTTTGATCGTAGGACGTGTGTGTGTGTGGGTGTGAATGTACCCCCAGCTCCATTGTAGCCGGTTTCAAACTGGAGCATTTCTGACAAGAGCTGGTGATTTAGCGCAGCAAAACAACTGGCCACATCACATGAAACCCCTCTCCCTGTTTAAGTTGAGAGATATACACACCCACCCCACATCCACAGACACTCGTACACACACTTCTGGCTCCGGTGTTTTTGTCGGGATGATGACGGACCACCCTGGTGAGTGAATATACCCTGAGAGCGGTACAGATACTATCAGCCGTCAGGTGTCTGTTTCTGGCATTATTGCTGAAAAGTGTCAGTCAGATAAAGCTGGTAGAGGCAAACTGAGAGAAATCATTTCACTTTGGGGAAATACATTGTGTCAGAGTAAAGAAAAAAAACAGAACCAGTTTCAGAGGGTCTTTTTTTCTGTTTGGATTTCAGCTTGACCCGTACGGGCTTGAGAGAGAGAAGTGTTGCCCTTACATTTTAATGCATTTGGGGTTTAAGGTACCCCAAATAGCCTGTTTTTAGAAAGTAGGGTGATCTGATAGACTTTATTAAAAGCTATTTTATTCCTTTAATAGATGGCATGAGACTGTAACCAAATGCTCTCATCTACTGACATCATTGTTGCTGAATGTGTCACTTAGGTAACCCAGAAAACAGAGTTTTTTCTCGAGTGAAAAAGGAGAATTGTGTATGATGTGAAGATCTTTGTCAAAGGGCGGAATTTTAAGGCCCAATTAAACTTTGCTGCATACCACACTCGAACACCTGCAGCAAGCAGTTGTCATTAGTACTGTATCCATTACATGTTTGCCTAGATAACATGTTTTTACGCATACCAGGGAGATCAGCATTAATTGTGAAAAGTCTTCAAAGCAAATGCATATTCAGTTAAATCCATGTGATGGCAACACATAAGCATATGCTAACACTGAGCATTATGTGCATCCGCAAATGTTGACATTTAAATACCACAGACCCTACTAGACTCACATATCTTTTCAACGTACATGCTATGACTTGTGCATAACCAAGCAATTTTGTTGGCCAAATCTGTCCAAACAGCAACTGAAAGCGAAACCTGAAAAGCTAAGGTAAAGCAAACTCCAATCCACAAGAAAAGTGATCTAAGGGCACATTGCAGAGAAAATAAATAGTTCAAATCCATCCAATTGGTTATAACCATCATCATACAACAGCAAAAAGTTTTCAAAGAAAACCAAGAGGATAATTTGGATCAGAAGACTGAAATTGAAGATTTCTGATTGGACGGTCTGTGTTTTGCTTTCACAAAACCTCTTTGAACCTTCGATTCGGCATTAAAGGCTGTTTGAAATCCTCACTCACCATCACCCAAAAGTTCAATATTAGGAGAAGTGACTCAGGCCTGCTGCTTATGCACAAAATTGCATAAACAGGTGAAAACTTCCAATGCTCCCTCCTTTAAGCTTTGTTTGTCTTAATAACAACATATCGACTTACAAGAGCTACACCCTAAGGTCTTCCCCTTCACTTCCTCTTTTCCCATTTCTTTCTTCTTGCCTCCGTTGCTGTTCTTTACTCCATTCCTCAGGTTGAGACATTTACCAAACAAATAGCCAGTAATGGCAGTAAGCTCAGCCCCTTTGAGGACGGCTTATATGTGAGGAACATTAGAGTAATAGATCTTTAGAGGAAATCAGCAGCCAGAGCCTTACCCAGAGGGCAGGAGTTCTGCGTTAGGGGTGCTTGATCCGCACTTTGGCTGTCTTTTACTGTTACTGTGACAGTAATGTCTTCAGTCGGATTCAGTCTGATCCTCTCCGCTTAGCTCTTTGAAACAGTTAAGGCATGATGGAAAAGGATCTTTTATTCTTCACAATGGGACTGGTAGTCAGTGCTTGGGTGCCGCCTTTAATAGGATCTAAATAGCTGTGTGCACAAGTGTGTGCGAAAGAGAGCAGTGTGTGTGTGTGTGTATGTGTATTGTATGCAAGGGTGAGGTCTAAGTGTGTTTGCCTTTTCTCTTTCTGAATAGACTGACTGCTTTGGCATTCAGTTTCTGTCCTTGTCACACATGAGCTTGCAGACACTCACAAACGCACACACACACACACACACACACACACACACACAAAGAGTCAGGAAGAAGGGCACAATGCTGTCCTCCCTCCTCCTTCCTCTCAAGATGTGTTTTTTTTTTCTCCGTCTCTCCCAGACTTCCTGGGAGGGGTGCACTCCCCTTTGTGTGCAAAGGCACTCACTCTTTATCTTTCCCTCTCTTATTCTTTCTTTCTCTCATTCATGGGGCACAAAGAGCGACGGAGAGGGCGAAGAGAGGTCTGTCACCTGGACAAGGAGGGCCACGGGGAGGACTCGGCTACAAAGTGCAGGAAAGCAGAAAGGGAGGGAAGAAGAGACAGAAAGGGAGATGCCTCCATGTTTTGTGCTCTTGCTCTCTGCGGTTTAGAGGAGAATGGCAGGCGGATGTTAGGGTGGAGAGAGCGGCTGTTTAGTCTGAGGCCATGTCATGGGAAACATACTCGTGCCCTCTGGGACTTATTCATACCCTGGTATACTGTGCACGCACATACACACGTGCGCATGCACACTCCACGTCCGCTCCCCGTCCTCCCACACACACCCTGTCATGAGACCGAGGGGAGGGGGGGTGAAAGGTCAAGCACTTCAGTAATGGAACAGGAAGTGTTGGAACAGTCGGCGATACACAACATACAACTGGCTTCAACATGTGGACAGGACTGACAGGCAGCTGTTGTGTTTAGGCCATAGCTTTCGAAGGCAGAGACGCATTCACAGCCCAGCCCTGTTGCTCCGGCATGTACGCCGATTCTAATTCATGTTTGTAAAAAAGATCACATGAGGGCCAAATCATTTGCGGCGAAAGTTGGTCAAATGCTGGCGAAGATCTGTGGAAAATGGTTTGAAATTTCAGCACTTTTCCACACATCCTGAAAGGATGGCTTTTACTGAGGTGTTTTTCCTGCATGCTGATTCAAGGCAGATTCTCAGCCTACAACAGTGAATGAAACCTGATGAGTATTAGTGTCAGGCTCCATTATGACTTCATTTGGTTGAATGGCAGAAACAGGAGGACACAGATCTAGTTAGAAATCCATTGCTGGCTCCCTTCTCCTTTGCTATTGCTTTCACAGATCTCTGATCAGTTAATCTGTTCCATATATTCAACAGTGACTTTGGATAACATCTAGAACTGAACTTCGATCAGCACTCGATGAAATCTTACTCCATGCCAGTGAAGGAATATTGCTTCTGCTGGTTTAAAGAGATTTAGGTTGGCTGCCTGCCACACATGTAAAAGTCCAGATTTCCTCTTTTATTCCTTCTCAGACATGTAATAGAGACAAGAGTGAGTCTGGCTGTAGTTGCAGATGTCCTGCAGTGGCATAAGTCCTTTTACAACAGATGGAAAAGTCACCTGTGACGTTTAGTCTCGGCATTAATTATACCAAATCCACATATAATCTTAACCAGATTTTCAGAAAAGCCTTCCAAATGAAATTTTACCATACGCTTACTTAAACAATATTAAAGCTTCATTGCAATAACACATGTGATCGATCCAGTGAGTGCTAAATCTGTATGGACCTATGTAAAGTAAAACAAACACAGATGTGCAAGTAGGCTGTTTGGAAAGTAGGTTTTATCTGTTAAAAGGAATCCAAGTCTCTGGGTCTCTGGTAGCATCTGGAATCCCCTTGCATAATCACTGAACCACAAATAAGAACAGTTGAGATTCAGGCTGAGCTGTGCATTGGGATTAGTGGAAAGAAAGGGTTAAGAACGGAGCCCACATTGCTGACTTTAGATAGATTGATGCAATTTATTTAGTTGTACTACATCAAAGCACTAGTGGCTTCAGTTTAAACTGGACAGCCATGTAAGCCATGGCACCTCATGAAGATCAGACCAGACCCACCGACAGCTGTAGTTAATGGGTGACAACCTTAGTTTACACCAGAGCATATTTGGGTTGTAGGAGTAGAGGCTATTTTTAGGCTGTGATTGGGCTGGATGGAAGGATTGGCTGGAATGACCAGAAGTTCAGTCTTTCAAAAGTTTGGAGGAGGTTGGTAAGAATGGAGTCCAATAGACATTGCAGAATCACTCCCTTTTCCATCCACTACTGTTGTATCATTTTTAAGAGATGATTTATTGCTGTGAGTTGTTGTTGGACCTGCCATCCAGCCAAAACTGCACAACCTCAGACAAAGGAGAATAATATTTGAATAGATTAACATGGGAACTGGACCATGGGAACTGAAGATTTTACCATCTAAATTTTCCGCCTATGTGCATTCAAAGTTATGTGAGTTGTACATGTCAGTGCTTATCCCAGAACTTTTTTGCATTTAGCTTTCATTGACACCTATGTACCCCTTCAGAACATAAACATTTTTTAAGAATTTTGTCAAAAACAATTCTATTTCTATCACTTACTTTCTTTACAAACTGAAAATTTGCATTAAAGTAGTTGGGTTGAAAGCATCTGTCTGCATTTATGTCAATCCTCCAAGAGATAACATGATGATTCTACTTTTTCCTTCTTTGTGATCCTCTAACTTATTTGAGTGCACTTTTGTGATGGTTCTGGTTGATTTTGGTTACATTTAAGTAATTTCCATTCTTCTGTACCCTCTGTACTGCTCTGTGGGAAACTGGGAAATTGGGATGTTGATGCCTTAATCATCATGAACTGTGTGTGTGTGCGTGAGTGTATTTGGGGAAACACACATTCAGGCTTGTGCAACATCTTTCCCCGTGTGAATATGCATCTTAGGGTCTTGTGGAAGCGTGCATGTGTGTGTGTACATGTTGGAAAGGGCATTAAGTATCATTAGCTCTTGCTAGTCATCACCTGCACACTGCCAGCCCCACATGAGCCACTTTACTCAGCGGGCCTGGCCAGTGATCACACAGATAGCAGACAGAGACAGACAGACCTAAGCTGAGGTATATGGGGAACTCAGAAAGCTATGTCTTACACACACAACTGTCAGCACTCATGTTAGCAATCCCTTCATGTCTCATTATGCCTTATTATAAAGGCAATTATTTTTGTTTCTTTAAAGAAAAACTGCAGGCACACTGCACTGGGAAATTACACCTTTTATTAGTTGTTACGGTTATTTATGGATTCGATTATCCAAAGTGACACAAATAATCTACAAACTCTGGATACACAGGTGTATAGTTCTGATATATGGATCCAAATGTCATGTGCAGGCGCATCTTCCAGGACAGTTTGGGACATTTACTAAGACCCGTCCCAGGATGGAACAATGACTCTTCTGTTGTGAAAAAGAGAGGGCCGGTCCATTTGCACAGATTCATGCACGTATTCACGCACACACCGGCAGACACACACAAACAAACATTCCCATGGATTCCCAGGGTTAGAGAGGGCCTGAATAGGAATCTGGGCCACGCAGACTATCTGAAATCTCTCAATCTGAAAGCAGCACTTCACCCGACAACCATGCATCAGGAGAAGCACAGTCGCAGCCCTGGTGTCATACTTGCATCACCCTGCTGACAAACAAAACACACACATCCAGATATTAAGTCAGCCGGCTGTGCTCAGACATCAAACGTTTTTAGAATATGGACTATTGTGCACGAGCATACCAAAAACACATTCTTTAGCAACCTCTACCTCCTCCACCCTGTTTCCCCTCAAGATCTCATGTCGGGATTGCTTTCTACTTTTTCTAAAGGACAGGATATGGAGCGGTGGGGCACACTGTGGCCTCTGTGTCTTCTCCGCTTGCTGTTCCTAAGGGAATTATCATTGTTCCCATTGTTTTCCTGTACCTGTCTACCTGCTGTCTGTCCATGAGCAGCATTTAAAGCCTTCAAGTTTGCTCTCAGGAAACCACAAATCATAGCACTGTCCAATGCTAACTGCGTCTCCGTTCTATCCAACACCCCTCTGGCATAAATACCTGTTTTGTGGCAGGCGGAAGTGGCTTTTTCTTTCAGTGTTCACCACAGGGCCTCCAGGGAATCTAGCATAGAGTGAAGGAACTGACACTTTGAGGTAAACACCTAATTTTAGTGTGAAGGAAGGAAAGAATGAACAAAAGAACAGAGGAATAACTTCTTCTTTATAACCATTTTTAGCCAAATAGCTTAACCACAGTTGTACATGCCACTGATTTGGACTTCTGTATAGAGGCGTGTAACTCTCTGACAGTTTCTTGGCTCACAGTCAAAGCAACTCCTCCCCAAACTGACACACACTCACACAGCGAAACCTTTACACCATTTGACTTGGATGCACACCCTTCCCGTCTCTCATTCTGCTGCCCTGAGCTTTAAATGTTCAAAATGATTCTCTGGGATGCACATTGCACATCACTGATCATCCATTTACTCTTATTGCTGCATGACCAGTTTCGACAGACAAGCACACCCACAGGCACCTCATCAATGGGTTCCACTTAAACCTGAAGGGGACCTGAGGAAACAGGTGAGGAAAGGAAAATAGGTACGGGCAGAGAGGGGGGCAAACAAAGACAGCTAGGGAGGGGAGTGTAGTTAAGGCGGGGGGTCTACCATAGACGTCTGGAGCCAGGACACTGATGCTAGAGCTGATAGCTGCTCTATAGAGGACCCTCTGCTGTCAGTGCGGACACACTCAAGCACTCACACTGCTCCTTCTTTTTCCTTCAGGACTCTTATTTTTCTCCCCCCCCCCATTCCAAATCCTCCTCCCCCTTTATCACATAGAGTTCCTCTAATTTCTCTCCTTGTAACTGAGACATGATGTTTACAGCGTGACCTCCCGGTCACTCCTGATAGGAATCGTTCCATCACCATAATGGCCAAACGACACGCACACGACTGTTACTGTCACAGCCAACACACGGAAGCATGATGTCGTCCCAGTCCTGCGTATGCAGAGTCTTTTCTTTGCCACCGACCACGATCTTCATAATCTTTCAAGACACAACTGAGGATCACCAGTTTATTGTTTTCTCCCACTCTTTCTTCATGTTTCGTTTCGTATTTGCCCAGTGTTCTTATCCTCCTTTTTCACCTTTTTCATCTTCTGACTTGAAAAAGAAAAATCCCCCGTGCAGTGTGGGTGGTCTTCACACACATGCACACACACACGTGCTCATGCTCTCCTTGGTTTTCCTCTGTCTGGTAATGTGCTAGCTGTGGTTTCCTGGCCTTGGCCATAACGCCGTTAGAAGTTCACCGCACTCACTGCTACCACAAAGCATCACCTAAACTCTGCTCAGTTTCAGACTCAGACCAGTCGCAGGCCTACACTCTTTTCCTCTCGTGCACCCGGCTTGAGTAAGTGTGAGATGTGTAAACACGAGCTCCTGACAAGCTCGTGTGAAGGATCTCACACCATTCAGATGACAAACATGTCAGTTATTTTTAG